GATAAAGTTCGAACATCTATTGTTATTGGTCACAGAATTACAGGTTAACTGAGAGCAACGAAAATATGCACGTTCTAGTTGCTTGCTAAACAGCAGCGCAGTGCAAGCAAGGGCAGTAAAAGTGAAAAGTTAATGTACAGCAATCTACAGAATAGGAGTAACCAGTGAATGATGAAAAATATTCACAGTGAGGGGTAGGAATAAGCAACTAGATAATAACCCACAGCAGGCCCCTGTGAGCGTATGAAGCAGTGTGTATGAATATGCGGCTAAGTATAAGAAAATGGTAAGCAGTGGCAAGTATAATAAATTAAAATATATAGACTATTATTCATGATGAGATGAGGAACCTTGTGGGAAGCAATGAAAAAATGTGAAATGGAAGTGGCGACGCTAAACCTGACAACCAACACAAGCGGGTTGCCGAGCCAATTGGAGAGTTCATCAGCGCAGCGGCACGGGTAAAAACCACCAAATGAGCGAATTCAGCTCTGCGAAGATATCAGGTTGGACGAGGTGCCGTTTCCACCATTCTAATTTATTCGCCTCCGGCAGCCCGTGGACGGAGAGAGAGTGTGCGCCGGGCCACTGCGAGCCACCCAACCCCGTCTCACTATCAAGGCTGGCGGGCGTCTTTGTCCCCTTTGTCCACACCTCTCAGTCTTAGCACCATATACACGCAGCGCCACTTCTTAATTACCTCTCCCAAACTACAGAACCACCCTATCAGATTAGCTTTACGTTTTACTGTCGGTCACTTCATTACTGATCTGCGAGCTGCACGATACTGACGGCCCCCTGTCAGGAGAGGGAGAGGCGGCTCCGTTTATTATCCTGGTGTTACTTGTAACACTATCAGCTCTACACTTTTGCAATAGTTAATCATAGCTAAAATTAGATAATTAACAAGAAGACGCTTTGACCGGCACTTTTCAAATTGTGTCCGGAAGATTTAATACCCTTTAACAGACATGTTGACCGGCGAAAAAACATTCTAACTGGAACTCTGGTCTGTGTGTGTGTGGTGTGTGTGTGTGTGTTGGGGGTCCTCCAAACGATACGTAACGCATGGGGCCCCCTGAAAAGCCAGGCCGGCTCTAGACAATTTGCAGCCCCTAGGCCGAGATTTGATTGGCGCGCCCCAGCCAGAGAATCCGTACAATAGAAAAGATAAAGATCAATAGAGTATCTCAAAGGGAATACACAATTACGACATGGGGGGTGACGTCCGACATCCTCCTAGGAGGGTTCCGAGTAGGAGGTATCGCCCCCGCCCGGGAAGATTTTTTTCTTAACATATAAGGTCACACTGCTCATGTCGCTTTTCCCGCGTTATTACCCTCCCCCTTTGTGTGTTATAAACAGGGGTCTTCTTCTGCGATGTAAACGGTGTTGCAGAGTCAAAACCTCGGCTACAAAAGTGAGGCAACGCTGGAGGCAGAGTAAAAACTCCTAAATAGCAGAAAAAATACCTCCCCCAAAAACGCTCTCGTTGGTGAACTGCTATCACTTGACGTCATCATCCCATCTCTTGATCTTACGCGGGTACTGTCTTTCCGTAAAGCACGTACCACGGAACTAAATGGCCAAACTCCGTGGAGCCCGTTTACGTTACGTCCGCGAAGGCGTTACATTAAGCCGCCCCGCTGATTGCGTCACATATTCCGACCAAACTCCACACACACCACACCAGTGCAGGCCAAGGCCCTGCTGATTTCTGCTCGTGCTGCAGGCCTGGATAAAAGACAGTTTGGGATCGCGCAAATTCCTCTGCAGACCTCATTCTCACGCGTTTACATCTATAAAACTTTTTCTTAGCTCAATATCAGCCACACTTTATTGTTTTTATTTCGCTGTGACTTTGGTTGTTCAGGTTGAAGTTGGCTTGTGTTTGGTTCTGTGTACGCTAAACAATGGAAATCACGGAGGGCGGGGTGGGGAGGGGAGGGAGGAGCTGCAGTGAGCCCGTTTAGTTGGAGAAAGTGAATACTGTGAATCACATAGCTTTACAGAGATGCTGTATGCGAAAACCAATGTGAGTTTGAAAATTGCACCAGATTTTACTAATTTTAGTATACCTCAACAATGGAATTAATGATCAGTGGAAATGGCCATGACATGGACCTTTAAAGTAAAATGCTTCCAAATCTGGTTGGCACTTTTAAGCAGAATTAAAGCAACTAGATCTACGGGGTACAACTCAAAAAACATCCCCATATGAAAAAGTGGTTTAGCATTTTATTAATCAAATAAGTATGTGAACTAACCAATAAACCTAAACCATTGCCAATAACCAATAAATGTAATAAACTTATTTATTTTGTTGTTCATTCATATCTATTTTAACATTTTGTTATTCGTGCATTTTCTTAATCTCTCCCAGTTTAAAAACAATAATTTTTGGGAGGGTTGACAAGTATGAACACACATCAAGGACAGCACACATTGAAATGATTTCAAACCTGTTTTATCCCAATAATTATAAAGGAGTGCCTTGGAAATATTTGTTTACATAAATTGTGACCAAACCGTTTGAGACCCACTGAGATAATTTAGACTAAAGTTAACTATCTAAACACTCAAAGTCCTTTACCTCACTGAGCTGTAGTTATCAGCCTCTCAGTCTGACTGGAGAGGACTCTCCATCCACATTATTGTAGAAACGTCTTCTTCTAATATCCGTTAGAGCAGCTAGCACCAGATTCTAATAACAACAGCGCCGGTACCGGTGCACCCTCCCTCTCTCCCTCATTCGCTCCCAAGCTCACTCGCACTTTGGCTGTGAGCTGCGGGCGCCAGATAAGCCAACATCCCCCATTTTCATCACTTACAGCGCCCATCGTACAGGGCAAATGAAAAGTGTAACCGGGGTCAAAAAAGGGTGTTACATTTACTTAATTATGAATGTTGTTACATCAAGGCCGAAAATTAGGATGAGCACCAAGGGTCAAAAATGCTTTTCTACCAGCGCAGCGCCTCCCCAGATCTGGCGCCCTAGGCGAACATCTATAACGCCAGTGCTACGGGCCGGCTCTGGCCTGAAGGTGGCCACCCACCATAACACCTACATCCTGTCCGCAGGGAAGCACACGCACACATTCACAAACACACACACTCTGAAAGCAGCATGCACTGATTTAGCTTCCTTAGCGACTGTGCGTTGTCGTGGTAACATTTCCTCACCCTCACCTCTCCATCAGTCTAAGCAGCAGGATGAAGGTTTTAATGTTTCTCTGGAAGCTCAATATAAGTCTAAAAAGCTTCTTTGATCATCTGGAAAAAGCATCTCCACAAAGCTAAAAACGGGCCTGTTTTTATGAAAAACTCTAAAAGGTTGACTTTCTAGAGAGACGTGATTCTTACGAACAAATTATGATCTTATAGATTACAGCTTTTGCTATAGAATAAAGTAGCCAACAGTATATATAGGAGCTACTTAAGACAGGCTCCTTTACTTGTAGTGTTATTGAAATATAAAATCATTCTTCTTCTTCTACTATGATTTCATCTCCTTTGTCTTCTTCTGGTTATATAAGAGTTTAGTTTCTGGGGCAAGTGGAGGCGGGTTTGTGCTCCTGATCCTCTGACCTACTGCCTGACGGGGAAAAGACTGAAGACAAGTTTTAAATAAATGTAATCCCTGAAGACGTGGGGATGTCTGCTTTCTGCTGCAGGTTTATAAAGTTGTTCTGTAAAGTGAGAGATTAAATTTAAAAGAAAATATATTTAAAGTGTGAAAGATGTTTCAAGTGATACTGTAACGCAACAGAGAACAAGTCACGTATAAGTAATGGCTAGGAAAATTTACATTTTAAATTAAATAATGTACAAATTAAAGATTTAAACATATGCAAATAAAATGCAAATATATCAAAGATTATTTGGAAAATGTCAGAAAAATATCCTGAAAAACATTTGAAACATGAAATGTATGAGACAAATCTCAATAAAATATCTAAAATGTCTAAAAAAAATTGAAAAGTAAATACGTTAAAATAAATTCAACATTGGATATTATTATTGATGAAACTATTAATAGTGTTATTTACTTTAATACAAAAATAATAATAACAATACAGAACAATAGTTTGATAAATGTTTGATACAAATGTCCTTTTGGCTTTGGGGACAATGCAGTCAGCAGTGTAGAAATGCACTGAGGGAAAATGCACTCAAAATCTTGCTAAAGTATTAACATCAACATATTCTTGTTTGCCCTAAATATGTCTGCACAATAAAATAGATGGAAGGTTATGTACAGAAGGAAACCCACTGACATCCCTTGAATTATATTGAACACAAATGTATAATTTATATTTTACAGTATTCTTTTGTTGTTGAAAATCGCAAAAAACATGTCCTCAAAAACCTTAAATGCTGGTGTTCAGGTGAGGATACAGAGACCCAATGGGTGTTCCTGTGAAACTCCATAAACCCTAACACAAAACACTCAAGCGCGCGCACACACACACACATGCACACACACTCTCCCTCTCTCTCTCTGTGTTTGGTCACTGAGTCATGCAGTGTCAGTGTGATCTGATTATCATCTCCGCTGCTTGTTTCTGAAAAGACATAACACAGGATGTGTGTGTGTGTTTTTTTCTCCGTGTGTCTGTGTGTGTTTCCAGGCACACAGCTGAGTTCCTGGATGTTAACAGCCTTGCAACAGAATACTGAGAAAATATAAAATGAAATGCAGTGTTAGAGCCTGAAGTGTGTATGAGCAACATGCACCTTAATCCTGAAACTGGACAAACCTATTGAACTATTTTACATATATACACATTTTGTTTGTGTTTATTCTTCTACAAAAATAAATCTTAGAGAGAAAATTATTGCGTTTTGACTGACAGCTTTTGTTACTGAAAATTGTACTTGTTACATTTCCACATACTTATTGCTGTTATGAACAATGTGATAATGTTATCTTTAATTTCTTATTTTATATAAATATTTTTAAATAATTTTTTTCAAGAAACCCAATTGTTACTTTGTTTTGTCTTTTCAGTTTTTTTTCAGTATCAGTACGTAGTATTAGAATGTAACTAAGTACATTTACTCAAGTATTACTGTATGATCATTTGTACAACATTAATGTACTCTAATTTTAAACAATTTAATACTCCATAAAATGTAAACAGGTGTGTTGGTGGTGTATGTGTGGGCAAAGGCTGGTATGTGTGGCCGCAGTCCATGATGCCATTGTGTGTGTGTGTGTGTGTGTGTGTGTGTGTGTGTGTGTGTGTGTGTGTGTGTGTGTGTGTGTGTGTGTGTGTGTGTGTGTGTGTGTGTGTGTGTGTGTGTGTGCGTGCATGTGCATAGATGGGGGGAATACCACAGTGTGTTATCTGAGAAGGTAGATATGACTGTGTGTGTGTTTGTGTGTATGTGTTGTATGTGTGTGTGTCTTAAGCCCATGATATCAGAGGGGAGTTATGCAAAGCGCTGATTCATAATTCACATGTCTGAGTTTTGAATGGCTGCAGTCTGCACCATTGTTTCCACTGCGACACACACACACACACACACACACACACACAC